TCCTGGGAGACACGGGACTCCCCTGCCGTCCTGGGAGACACGGGACTCCCCTGCCGTCCTGGGAGACACGGGACTCCCCTGCCGTCCTGGGAGACACGGGACTCCCCTGCCGTCCTGGGAGACACGGGACTCCCCTGCCGTCCTGGGAGACACGGGACTCCCCTGCCGTCCTGGGAGACACGGGACTCCCCTGCCGTCCTGGGAGACACGGGACTCCCCTGCCGTCCTGGGAGACACGGGACTCCCCTGCCGTCCTGGGAGACACGGGACTCCCCTGCCGTCCTGGGAGACACGGGACTCCCCTGCCGTCCTGGGAGACACGGGACTCCCCTGCCGTCCTGGGAGACACGGGACTCCCCTGCCGTCCTGGGAGACACGGGACTGCACTGCTCTCTGTGGGAGACACGGGACTGCACTGCTGTCCTGGGTCTCGTCATCAGTCACTCATGGTGACCTCTTTCAGGTTGGCTCCTGTGTCTTCAACACGACTCATCAGTTTTTAAAGGTTTTCTTTCTCACACTACAAACTGTTCCACACTCATTTTACTTTTCCTGCCATGACTAAGAGATCAGCTATTTCTTCAAGGAGCCCTGTTCATTTTATTGGAGAGCCATGTTTGGGGATGAGGACCTGGGCCCGGGAGCTCCTGCTCCTGGGATGTGTTGCTTTCAGCCCGCCCCGTGGCTTCCGCATGCACACACTGGTCTGTGTTGTGTTGTTCCTGCCCACGTACACCTAGACTGAACGCAGTGGATTTGTACTTGCACCTCAGGGTCAGTCTGAGGTCACAGGCTCCTCCCAGGAGCCCCTCCTTCCTCTGGGCTGTCGGGCCTGTTCCGTCCTAACGGGCAGGTAAAGGGTTCAGAGTTGCGCAGCCCTGTGAGATACCCCGTTGGGAATGTAGGTTGTCGTGGTCCTTGTTCTGTTTGGTCTCACAGCGTCAGGCCCAGCCCTCACTCCGAAGTTACTTAGGTGGGCTCGCCCTCCCGGTGCTGTCCCCGCTGGCATGCAGCGACCTTCTCTGGTGGCTGTCGGTGTGCCGTGGGACTCCCACATCTGGGCTGATTTTCATGGCTTGTTTTCAGGTGAAGCGTTGCCGTGCCTGACAGTCTGAGCTGTGCACACGCAGGTGCTGGTCCCCCACCTGCCTCCTCGTTTCCGCTCAGCACTGTGTGTTCTGGGGTCCGTTCCTCCTTCCCGTCTGCAGCTGTATTCCAGCGGTTACTTGGGCACTTAAATCTTTCCCAGTGTTTGTTCCCCTGGTTTTCACTTACCTGTTTACTATTCAGCTTATTCATTTTTCTTGACTTTCAGCCTCACCTGTTGGCTGTCGGTCGTCAATGAACTCAGCCTATCCCATTCTCTCCCCTCCTCTTCTGTGTCACACCAGTTGCCCTCTCTCACAGCGTAGGACACTTGTCACTTGTCCTCCCGCCTCATCCTTCCTTTGGTGTTGCTGCACATTCTCGTATCCCAGGTGCTCATTTCCACTGTCTGTGATGTGCTGTCTGTCACCTGTCAGGATGGTGCCGTCCTGTGACAGTCTGCATGCGGCCTTGGGGCACGGGCTCCGTTTGTGCGCTGAAAGGGGCTTGCTCTGGCCGGGGATGGAGGAGGGCAAGCTGGCTAGGAGCGCTGGACCCGTGCTTCCTCTCGGGCTCAGTGCAGCTCCGCCTGGCTGTGCACGTGGGCGGTGAGAAGCCTGACGCCAGGCTAACTCTCTTGTCTTCAGAGTTTGTTTTCTCTTTCTACCAGAGGACTGAGCTTTGACTCTGAAACTAAGTGCTAGGAGGTCACAGCAGTGAGTTGCTGTGGTTAATTTTCCCGGGCCCTTTCAGTGTGGGGTGTTGCTCTTTGTCTGTCCTGGAGGGTTTGCTTGGATTGTAGTTCAAGTCCTAGTGCTGACCTGCCTGCCCTCTTCAGAGCTCCCACTTCCCCTGCCCTTTTTCCCGACCCTTTTCATTTTCCTCACCTCCTTTCCTGCCTTTCTACACTTTCATTTGTCTGTTTTCCCCTGTACACTTTGCAGTGAATTTACTCATTTCGGAGCTACTTTTGTCTTTTCTGTCCGTTAAAAAAAAATCCTGACCCGAGGATATTTTTCCATTGATTGTTAGAGAGAGTGGAAGAGAGAGGGAGAGACAGAGAGAAATATTGATGTGGAAACACACCGATTGGTTGCCTCTTGCATGAGTCCTGACCAGGGTCAGACCAGGAAGGAGCCTGCAATCGAAGTACGTTCCCTTGACTGGTTGCGTCCTGCACAAGCCCTGACTAGGGCCCTGGCCGGGGAGGAGCCTGCAACTGAGGTACATGCCCTTGACCAGAATCAAACCCAGGACCCTTAGGTCCACAAGCCAATGCTCTATCCACTGAGCCAAACCAGCTAGGGCTCTTTCCATTTCTTTACTTGTGTTTAATTAACTCTCCTGGTTTTAGATTTGTTTCTGTTGGTTTTAGATTTGTTTCTTCCCTAATTTTTGAGTTTTTGATTTAAGGTGGTTTTCCTGTTCTCAGGTGCTTACATCTGTAGTGTTTATTGTTGAAAGTGTCCTCCTAGTTTTCTTGTGTTTCCAGACAGTTTGCCTCTGACCGTGTGGGGTGTGTGCTCTGATTTTTGTAGCGGTTCTTCAGGGCCTTGCGAGGCTGCTCTTGTTTGGTGTTTTACAAGATGAATGGGCGGACGGCTCCCTCTTCTGGCAGCATTTCAATCAATGTCGGGGTAGCTGGGCAGGTTTTTTGTTTGGTTAGACTGAGGGGAGGGCTCACCTGTCCTTTGATGGTGACAATCTCATCTTGCAGGACCTTAACTTGTCCCCACACAGTCCCCCTTCACTCTCACACACTTGAGTTATGTCCAGGGTCACTCCGTCTAAGCTATGAACAATGCTCTTTATCTGAGGTCCTGTGGGTCCTTTGGCTGCAGGGCTGGGCTGTCCTGACGTCCAGGCCAGGGTTCTTCCTCAGGTTCCTTTTACCCCCCAAGGCCGGACCCTCCTTTGGAGCCAGGTGCCATAGTATGACCTGAACACGGCCCTCCGATTGGGGGGAAGTAGAAAAATAGCTCCCCTCCCCTGTAATTAGAAGGAATCTGAGCGTCAGGGAGGGTGCCTTGACACCGGGTTTTATAAAAGTCAACAGAAGCAGGAGAAGTGCTGGTTTCCTGTGTTCTTTGACCTCAGGGCCCTGGCTGGAGGTGTGCGGCCACACCCATGGGCCCTGTGGGTGCTTGCCCATCGGGATTTTTTTGTAACAGTTTTGATTTCCAAAAAAATATTGCATTAAAGTATTTGTCTTTTTTTGAAAAGAAATACAATTGACTTACAACATTGTATTAGTTTCAGGCATGCACAGTGACTTGCTATCTATATGCATTACAAGGGAGCCTGGTGAGAAGGCTGTCACCGAGCACCTGGTCACGTCCGTAACTGGGAGTTTGCATCCCTAGTTACCTTCCTCGGTCTCGCCTGCTCCCACCCGTTGGCCATCATCAGTTTGTCTCTCCCCATGACTGTTGCTATTTTGTTTGCTCATTTGTTTTTGGTTTTTAGAAAATATTGTTCATGTTGATTTCTGACTTTTAACAGTTTTAGCCGCTCAGCTGTTCTGAAAGCAGAAACACGAACATGGTGCAGGTTGATAGTGTGTGTCAGAGACACATGGTCCGTGATGTAGGTGGTGCCTTTGTTCCTCCGAGTGACACACTCCTGCCTCCGTGAGCTCAGGTGGGGGAGAGGCCACTGTCCGAGAGCCTCCCAGCTTTCCTGCCCGACACTGGCCTCTGCTCTGTGGGCTGACCTGTTGCCTCCTCTCAGCTGTGTTGTCAGCACAGCCTTTTCAGGAGCGCTGTTTGGCTCTTACATGAACCACTCCATTGGGTAGTTCTTTCTGACAAGGAAAAGCAGTCATGGGAGGGCTGTGGGGCTGGGAGCTGTTGGGGGGCCTAAAGGGGTGCACAGACAATGTAATTTATTGGTGGAAGATGTGCCTGAGATGCCTTGGACCACCAGGTCCCTTGGGGAATGAGCTTCAGGTAGGGGGACCGGGCATGGCCTCACCTGCTACCTGCTGGCCGCCTGCAGTGCTGCGGCCTCGCCCCTCTGCTCCCACCTTATACCTGGAGAAAATGCTGTAAAAACGCCATGGTGATTTTGCACTTGAACTATACACGAGCAACTTTAACCATCAGACTCAGAGACTTAGTTTCCACTCCACTTGGAGACACTAGAGCCGTGCAGTGGGAGTTGTGTGGTTTGTGCCTGAGTGTGCGATGGAAGCGATGGATGTGCTGAGACCATGGATGCTGCTGCTGCTGGACCTACAAAGTGCTTCTGGGAGGACCCCCAGACTCCGTCTCTACAAGTGCCAGAGACTCAGACCCATGCCGGGTGCCCAGGGTGCAGGCTGCATCCGCTCAGACCAGCAGGGAGTCCCTCCCTTGTCCAAGTGACCACGGAGTGCTGCAGCCCAGCCAGCTGACCACCAGCCTGTCCAGTTCCAGACCTTGTCGCGTCAGGAATGTGCCTCTGTCAGTGAAGTGGGGATGATACTCTGGCCCCAGGCATTGGCCCCGCCTGAGCCCCCAGATGCGTGGAGATTGGGGACATTCACCACAAGCCCAGGAGCTGCTCTGCTGTGCCCTTGGGCAGGAGCCACCACCTCTTCCCTCCTTAGGCCACAGGGGTCGGAGAGTGAGCTCTGGGGAGCTTGGGGCTAGTGTTCTGGGGTGCGGCCCTGCAGGTTGGTGTGGGTTTCTGCCCCTGCCTTGCCCACCCTGTGGGGACTCATAAAGCACTTCAGCTCAAGGAGTGGGCCTCTTGGATGGGGCTGTCCCAGCCTGGCTTCCTCCACAGTCAGGATTCCTTGGGACACTAAGGGAGACTCCATTTGCCCTCAGACGTGCCATCCTGGGGCCCTCACCTGGCCCTGCCCTTTCTTCTGCCCTGAGTTCTGACTACCCTGTGCACCACTAACTCGGCTCTCTCTCCTTTGTCACCAGGGGTCCGGCCCGGGCTCTGCAGTCCCCGGCAGCTCCGGCGTGGGAACCCCCCGACAGTTCACACGACAAAGGATCACGCGGGTCAACCTCAGGGACCTCATATTTTGTTTAGAAAATGAACGCGAGACAAGCCATTCACTGTTGCTCTATAAAGCGTTCCTTAAGTAGCACAGGACCTGCGGCATCTCGTTAGAGACGCCTGGGGACGTTTTTATATATTTGCAGATTACGCCTTTTTGTAACAAGCAAATGGGATATTGTTTAAAAAACAGCCACCTCTTTGCAACGGAACCGTTTTATATTCCTGTTTCTAAGTCAACTCTTCAGTCCGGAAGAAAACAAGTTTCTGTAACAGAGAAAACACGAGGCCCATGGGCACTCTTAACGGATAACTAAATCCTAACTCATCTTTGATTGAGTGGCCTTCTTGCCAAACAAGCCATATATAGAAGCTGACAGAATCGTTTAGCAAATAATTAGCTGCCCTATGTCGCCTCCCAGCGGCTTTTACATTATTTGTGCATTTGGTTTTAGTTCAGCCCCACTTACTGCCTAGGTGTGTGTCTGCAAGCCAATGACCTCATTTCATTTATTTTATTTTTGTATCAGTCAGTTGGCAAAGCAAACTGATTTTTAGACTATTTATCCCCCTTCCCCGTTCAGCACTAGGAACACGGCCCACCACGGCCTCCGGGTGAGTCACTCTCCTGCCTCACGGAGCCGGCCTGGCGGCTCCTGGCTGTGTGGCCGGCATCTGTACAAATGCATTTTATTTGCTATAGTTTGTAAAGCTGTAAAGTTAAAAGAAATGAAAACCTTTTCAGCATAAATATATTTTACTTGCACTGTGTTTTTTTAGCTAAAAGTGAAAACTTAGATGAAATAAAATCAAAGTTGAGAAGAATCATCAAAAGACTTTCTCAGTGTGAATCAAGTGTTGAGAATGGCTGGTGTATTTTGTCAGTAATTGTACATATTTTGGCACATAACATGAAACGCCTCTGTAAACTGTAATTATTTTGCTAAGAGACTGTGTGCGAGCTGTGGGCCCTTTACAGATGCCCAGAGCAAGCCCCTTCTTTGTACCTATTTTTTTATTACAAATATACTAATTGGTTCTTTATATTTTCAGAGGTTATTGTATTAAATTGTCTATTGATAGTACTTTTATGACTGTAAATACTTGGCTTTCTCTGTGGGAGCCTCGCAGGAGACTGATTCGCCAGAGTGGGAGCTGAAAGATCAGTATTTTTTACCGACACCTGAGAACTGTTACACCTTTTATTTTGTCTTTTAGGAAATCCCGTCTTTCCATTTTTTCATGTAAATTTTGCACAGTTACTTGTTCATATGTAAATATTTTACTTTCAAAAATGAAGTTTTTAATTGCTATTGTTTTATATAGGGTTGAGAGAAAATTAACTCCTTTATTAAAAACAAATTTATCTGTATTTGTTTTGCCTGTTTTTCCCAGTTTCCAGTTTCAGATGCTGCGAGAGACTTGGCTCTGGCTCTGCTGAGGTGCTTGCTTAGGAGCCACTTGTTAGAACCAGCATCTAAGCCCCTGCCACTCACTCACCTCCACGGACGGACGCCGCGGTGCAGAGCAAGGCCTGGCAGGGCTGAGCTCACACCTCGGTGGGCTCTCAGTCTGGGCCAACCCACGGGACACATGGCCCTGTGCTGTGTGGGCAGCAGGGCTCTTGTCCCTGCAGACGAGCTGGGGCCCAGCTGGGTGAGGCCAGGCAAGGCCTGTGATGGGCCCTGCTGGTGAGCCTGTGCGGGCGGCCTGGATGGCCAAGCCCTGATGAGGACCCACGACCACGGAGGAAGGTGGGTCTCCTGGCGGCCCTGCCTCGGTGTATCTAAGGGGTCAGGTAGGACCCCCTGCAAGGCTCATGGGTCACACCCACAGCAGTGCACTGCCTCTTGAGCCGTAAGTGACGAGTCGTTGGCTTAACTGAAGTTGGTGTCTACTTCTCACATTAGGTTTAGTTGGTTGGCTGGATCTCCAGCAATATGTGGGCTTATTTACAAGTCACACTGGAAACCACCGCTCTCAGAGCGGTACCTGCTGTGCCGGCCACGGCTGTGCAGCCAAGCCCAGCACGTGGGGCTTCCACAGTGGACATCTGCCGTCCAGGTCTGCAGACTGGGTGTCCGAGAGGTGATCCGTTTCAGGCCCCTCCCCCAGCTCCTGGCTTGCGGCATCTCGGACGGTCCTGGGCTTGGGAAGCATCACTTCTTCACCTCTGTGTGGTGTTTTCTCCCTGTGTGCGTCTGTCTGTGTGTCTGAGTCTCAGAGTCATCGCGAGGCAGCGTTGGGACGCGGAGGGACCTGTGACCGCCCGTGCTTCCTGCGAGTCGGGAGGGGCTTGGTGCTGGCCATGGTGCAAAAACGTCAGAACTTGTCGAGCTGCATTCCATAAGCACATGTGCAGTTTATTGCACATCAAACACATCTCATTGACAATGCAGAAGTAAATGAATGTGAATGAAAAACAAAGCTGTGTTCCAGTGTGAAGACACTTGGCTGAGATGTAGTGAAGGCAGGAGTGGCAGTGTGGGGGGTTGGGCGCAAGTCCAGAGGGTGGGCACAGGGTCTCTGGGACGCTCTTGGGACCCCTCCCCAGCGCAGGGGTGTCTGGGTGGCGGGGGTACCTTGCCCAGGTGAGATTGCTGGAGGCCATGGCCAAGAGGCCACGGGGAGGCTGGGGCTAGTGCATCGAGGACACGCAGGGACCGCACTCCAGCATTGAGGCCACCAGGTGCCAGCCAGATGGCAGCTGGGCCCCCAGGACCTGGGCTTACCTGGGGGCAGGGCACACTGGGAGGAGAATGCAGGAAGGGAAGAGAGGTGGCTTGACATGGGTGGGAACTGGGGGCAATGGATGGGGGTCATGGAGGCTCATGGGGGCCGGGCAGGAGGGCCAGGCACAGGAGTCTGGGCACACAGGACACATGGGAGGTGGGGCAGGTGGCAAGGTCAGGGACTTGAGCATTGGGGGTTGGGGTGCACTGGGGTGGGGATGTGCAAGTGCCAGTCACCTCTTGGAGCTGACAAGCTCTTTCTGCTAAGGGAGTGGCACGTGGGGTCAGAGTCGGCACCTGCCCTCCAGAGGATTAGCCAGGGATCCGTCCAGTGGACACAGGCCCTCCCCTCACGCTTCCTCTCCAGCAGCTTCTCCACACCCATAGCCCTGACCCCAGACTCAGATGACCTCCTGAGAGAACCCAGACCCAGGCTTATTTTGGTGGGGGAGGAGGGAGAGGTGCAGAGGAGGCTGGGCAGTGGCATTAAAATTTCGATTTTTCAATGTCAGCAATTGTGGCCGATTGAAAAATGGCCCCGAAAGATAGGTCCCAATACCCAGAGCCCCGTGCTGTGACCTTATTTGGAAAAAGGGTCTCTGGGTGTAAGTTAAGGGTTTTGAGGTGAGGCCATTGTGGGTCCTAAACCCAGTGACAGGTGTCCTTAAGAGGGAGGCGAGGGGGGTTAGAGGAGCCTCGTGAAGACAGGCAGAGACCAGGGCGATGCAGACCCAGCCCCAACCTGGGGCTGACAAAGTTGGAACAGGCAGGTGGGTGCTCCCAGAAGGAGCCTGGCCCTGGGTCAGCCCCGTGACACCGGACTCGGACCTCGGACCTCCAGATCTGGGAGAAAAGAGATCTGTGTCAACTGCCCAGCATGTCCTGTCAGTGACCCAGGAAACACACCAGCAGTTAGTTCGGTGTTGGGGGTGAGCTGGAGGAACAAACCTTGGCTGAGGCTGGGCCTCCTGGGTCCAGGGCACAGACCCTGTGAAGTGGGCTCCGTCTCATCGTGGCCAGAGCCCCTCAGCGGCTGGCAGTGCTGCCAGGCGGCTTCCTCTCGGCAGCCGAGGGAAGAGAGGTGGCTTGACATGGGTGGGGCTTCACGGGGCTGGCCACGGCCGGGTGGCAGGGATGTGGAGGTGCACACCCAGGGGCTTCTCCACCACCCCTCCCAGCAGGCCCAGCTGGCCCCAGGCCTCAGTTTCCATGACGACCATTCCCTAAATTTAAAAGGAAGGGAAAGGCAGGGTGGCTGAAACAGAGGTCACTCATGGCTCCAGGTGCAGCGAGCTCAACCCTCCTGCCTGGTCCCTTAGCATGCTTCTGGAAGTTTCTCTGCCTCCCTTCCCCACCTCACCTCCAGATCTCTCCATGGGGACTGGGCCCCCTGCTCTTCAGGGACTCCTCCCCCAGCTGGATGACCTTGGAAAGTAAGAGGCCAGTGCTCAGGAGCCCGGCCAGGCCCTGCCAAGAGGTGGAGACAGACCAGAGGAAATATTCAAGGAAAAGCACATAAGTAAAATAATTCAGTTGCTTTAAGAAATCAATGAAACAAGGGGTTGTGAGGATCACAGGAGGGTCTTGGGCAGAAAAGCTTCCCCCACAAAGGAGTCTGAGGACTCAGCACCCCAGGCTCTCCCAGCCTTGCAAGGGGGAGGCCACCGAGAGGAACTGGAGCTGCCGCGGGCCAGCCCCTGGGCGCCTCGCATGGCCCGCTCAGCAGGGAGGGATGGGCCAAGGGACCTCCTTGTGCCTGGAGCTCTGTCCCCACTCTCATCCTTAAGGTTGCTTTCCAAGCAGACAATTTATTCCTAAGAAGCAGAAGCTGCTGCAGGCATCTGAAGCCTCGGCCACCAGACCCACACCTGGAGGGTCAGCACCACGGACAGCTCCCTGCAGCCGCCCTGAGCCCAGCAGGTGCGTGAGAGTGCTGGGGCCTGGTGGTGGGCATGCCCTGGGGCTGTGATACGTGTGTGTGTGTGTGTGTGTGTGTGTGTGTGTGTGTGTGTGTTGGAGGTGGAATGGTGACTTTACAAAAAGGATATAGAATGAAGGTGGGTGTTTCTGTTTGATTTCTCTGCACTTTATATGTCAAGCCTGTGTATCTGCTGCATGACCAGCTCTACACCCTAGTCCTAGGCAGTGCCTACTTCTCAGAATGGACCAGAAAGAGGCTGTCTGGGTCTCTCTTTAGAGAGAAATATTCATACTGCCAGGAATATTTCATATCTCCAGGAAATATTCATATCACCTTTTTAAAAATGCCAGTGGCCATGAAATTTCTATGTGGAGCTCCGCTTGGGTTGGGAGGGAGGGTGGAGGAAGAGGCCCGCCTGAAGTCTGCCCCTGTGTGTGACCTGTCACTTGGCCACACCCCACTCCCTCGACCCTTTAGTAGGCGCAGGTCCAGGGCAGGTCCAGGTTAGCCGGGTGCCCCGCGTGAGCTGTGGGATCAATGAGTAGCATGTTCCTGGGACAGTGGCCCCCAAATAAGAGTGGGAGTTAGAGTGTATCTCCCAATCTCACCATGAGATGCTTTGTCCTGGCCTCAGTGCTGGCAGATTTGTGCGGGATAACTGTGGCCAGCCCCCATGCCCCACACCCGTAGCCCTTCTTGGGGGGGTATCTCTGCTCAGGGGCGTTTCCCACACCCAGATCCTGCCTCCATCACCATCCCCTAGCCTGGCCTTGATTATCAGGGGCTGGGGCAGCTCCTGGGGACCTGTGATGAGCGGCATGTAGGTGGGCAGATGGGGTAGGGACGTGTGCATGTGGGACAGAAATTTCCCTCAGGGCACCAGGGTCTGGGTTAGATGGGACAGGAGGTGGGCACCTTCCGGGCCCCGCCTCTGGGCCAGCCAGCCCTCTGCTGTGGAGCCTGTGTACACAAGTAGACTTCCCCCAGGGCCTGGTTACAGGAACATTTGTCCCGCCACAGGAGCAGGCCACAGCACTCGCTTAGTTGTGACTGTAAGGAGCTGCTCTGCTCGCAACCTTAAAATTAGCAAGTGGCTCGTGGTGCCTGTAAGGATCACCTGCACTGGGATTGCTGTGGATGCAAATCTATGGCCCAGGAGAGGCCTGGGAGGAGTGCTGGGGTCCAGACCAGCTCTGGGTCTGACTGCCACTTAGTGGGGTTTCCCTGAGGAGGGTGGAGCCTCTGTGGGTCCAGCCTCCTGATTGTCTCTGGTGTGTGGCCTCTGCCAGCTGGCTCTGCAGCTCCTCCAGCTCAGACTCAGGCTGGGGATCAAGGGCAGACTGGGCCACATGAGCAGGCTGGGCCAATCGGGGAGCTTCCAAGGATAGCGGAGCCTGGGGGTTAGGGGGTGGACTGCCTGTCTTTGGGTTCACAGTCTGGGGTGAGGGAGGCCTGAGAATTGTAAATTTGAGCCAGATTTCCATGGTCTCATGGAGGTTTACTTTGGGGTAGGAGAGGGATATATGCTATTTTAGTTTGTTAGCTTGCATTGGGTCATCTAAGAACTTTGAAATATTGAGACACAGTGACGTGGACCTTCATTTGCACACTTTCCTGGGGCCTCAGTGTAAGGGGCCTGGCCGTTTCTGTCTGTGCTCCCCGAACCCAGAACAGCGCCAGGGACAGAGCAGGTGCGCACACAGCGTTTGCTGAGTGGACAGGTCCCACCGACACCAAACCCTACACGCTTGTCCACCCCACGTCCGAGTGCCACCCGCCTTTGACCACGGGGACAGAAACAAGCCAGGGAGGCAGCTGTTTCAAAGGGGACTTTATTCACTCCTCAGAGCAGCGCGCGGCGCCCGGCCGCTGCGGGATGAGCGTGCACTGCTCCTCCCTCGGCAGCAGGACTCGCCGCTGCACTGAAAACACTGAAAACATCGACACATTTCCCTTTTTTCCTGTTTTTTCTTCTTTTTTTTGGTACAAAATGATACAAACAACAATACAAAATAGTTGTGCTGTTGACGATTACAAAAGAAGTCGGAACGTTTGTCTCACTGCGCAATGCTCAGAGTTGCAGCGCGAATACATCACACTCCAGTATCTTTCGCCAAAACAACCACAGTCATGCGGGCTGCTACACGTTTTGTCCTTTTTCAAAAGAAACATGCAAAAAAAGAACCCGAATGGAGAAGGGGAAAGGAAAGCAGAACGCGTTCCAGTTGCACAGAGATGTGGCCCAGCGAGGCACCGGGCCGCCTATGTACACCACGGTGCGCGCGCTGCGTCCCGGGACGCCCTGTGCACGCGAGGCTTTGTCGTGGTGGCGGTGCTACTCCTGTGAGCACTGACTGCTCCCTCCCCAGCTTCTACCAGAGCTGTGCTCTCACTGGGGGTCTCCGGGCCCGGCACCCTGACACTTCGGATGTGCTGCAGGACATGAGGAAGCGCAGACCTGCTTGGCAGACATGGCGGCCCTGGACTGGGGTGCCAGTGACCAAGGCCAGGGCCTCCTGACACGGCCCCGCAGCACTGGACTGTCCTGCTCACAGAACAAAACTCCCCCAGTAATCAGCCACGCCCCAGCTCTTTGCCATCGCTGAGTCCGGGCCCAGGCCAGCTCCCTGGTCATGGACACGCTGAGTCTGTAAGCTACATGAGATGTTCGACACCGATTGTACGCTTAGCTAATGCTAACTCGTTGGCCTCAGAAGAGTTCCAGTGTGGATCTGGATCTGGGAGGGGGTTGGCACCCATCTTTCTTTGGCCCTCAGGGGCTGCCGGGGTGGGAGGGAGAGGACACAGCTGTCCCGCTGTCTGGGAGCAGGGACAGGCATGGGAAGGCCCCTGTGACGTCCCCAGCAGGCTGCTGTAGCCTCAGCCTGCAGGATTTAGGCAAAATGAACCAGGGGCCTGGCAGTAACAAGAGGCAGGGGGAGGGGAAGGAGCCGGAAGGAGGCACATGAGACGGACATCCACCTCGGGGCAGAGGGGTGAACAGGAGGGGTGAACAAGGAGGGGTGGGTCGGTGCACGGGCTGCTGAGTCCTGGGCTGGCCGGGCACCTCCATCCCTGAGGTGAACCCCGGGGGCCCAGGAGGACTCGGCTGGAGAGAGGGGCCCACAGCTGCCTCAGCTGGAGAGCCACAGTCACACTTAGCACGTCGCCTGAAGGATGCACTTTCCCCAAAGAAACAAAAACAACCTCCCAGCTCACTTACTACCAGCCCTGACCCCACCACCACGCTCTCGCGTGGCCACGCTACAGGGCCAGTTCTCTCCCCGACCCGACACTCTGCATAGCCAGGCTCAGGACTGGGGGCCTGGTCCCCTCCCCTTGACTTCCAGCTTGTGACACAGTGACCTCCCTCCCTGGGCAGCCAGGGACGGGCCAGGGACAGAGCCCACGCAGTCCTTCGTGGGACAGGCTGCAGCTGCAGCCCAGCTCGGCTCTGGGAGAATGGATGGAGTTGGTGATGAGTGTGGTTTGGGGAAGAACCCTGATGTCCAATGGGGACATGCCCATGAGCACGCAAGTTCACTTTCAAGGCCAAAGCTGTTCTGAAAAGAGGGTGACCATGAATGGGGACAGCCCATAGGAGGAGGAACGACTCAAGGACCCCAGATGGAGAAGGGGGAACACTTGTCTTGCTGCACCCCAACTTCCCCAGGCTCCTCCCTGTTCCCAGGAGCAGGCCAGCTTCCTTGTCCTTGGTCAGCTGGGGCTCCCCTCCCCCAGGGGGCCCTGATGCCAAGTCCTGCCCAGGCCAGTGGCACCCTTCCCCCTTTCTCGGGGAGCCTGCGGTGGACCAAGCACAAGGGTCCCCCTTGACGGTGCTCGTCTCCTGCCGGCCGGAGGCGCCTTCACATCCAGGGGTGCCCCAGGGGCTGCTTCTCACTCAGCGTGACTGCAGCCAGGGTCTCCCCAGGGCCCTGGAACACCGCCCGTCACTGTCCATCCTGCAGAACCGACTCCCCGACCTCTGGATTGAGTCAAACTGGTACTTGCAGGGCGGTTTCAGCTGCTGGGCGTGGCCCGGTCCAGAGGAGAGATGGGCTGCTGTCTCCAGCAGGTGCCACCCAGCTGCATCTCAGGACATTCCAAGCAGGTCCCAGCCGTCCACGCCGCTCAGCAAGAGAGCTCTGGCCGCGCAGGTTCGGGCAGGGACAGAGGCTGCCTCGGCCTGGGAGTCCGCACAGCCCCGGGCATGGCCGCGGTCTGGGCTGTGCTGTGGGTGCTCGCTGGGCCTGTGACAAGGTTTGGTCTGGAGGGGAGGAGGGCTCAGGCCATGGTTTGGTGAGACGCTGGCTGGTTTGGGCTGTGGCTTCTTGGGACACAATACCTTCCTGGACCAAAGGCAGCGGGAGCCTGGCTGGTGCTCGGGGTGGGGGAGCCTAATGGTTGACCAGGGGCACCCGGGGAGACAGCCAAGGACAGAGATGGCCCCTGGAACCTCACCCACTCCAGTTATTTAAGCATCTTGGTGGGGGGCGGGGGGGAGAGGCACGGCCAGGCCGCAGTGAAAGCCATGCTCACACAGCGGTTTTGGTCACGGGCTCTGGCGTGCCTGGGGAACACAGCCGCAGGAGCCGAAGCTGGGCTCCCCGCCCCCCTGGCCTCAGGCACCCCAAGGGGTCCAGGAGACCCAGGCTGCATGAGGCAACACTTGAGCTGTTGGGATTTGGATCCCAAACTATGTTTTCTTTGTAAATTTTGTCAAGCGAGTCACCCACTTTTTTCCTTCATGAAAGGCCAAAAAAATAAAGAGACACATTCTCCTGACTCCTAAACTGGTGCCTCCGGAGCCAGGAGGAGCTGGGGCTGGGCTGGGGCTGGGGTGGGGGCTCGGTCTGCCTGCTTCAGTCACTCCTGAGTTTGAGGGAAACTGATACATGTACCAAAAGGCACTTTTTTTTTAAGCAGCGCTTCTGTTCTAAGATCAAGTCAGGACCCAGTGCCTCTCGCTTCCTTTAGTGACTGTCAGCTCCCGTGATGGGCGGCGGCGAGAAGTGTTCATGCCAAACAGCTCAATGTTGGGGGGCTGGGGCGGGGAGACCCCCTAAGCTACATGCTCCACCACCCAGCTGGGGATCACACTCCCGACTCAGCTGGCCTAAGCAGCACCCGCAGCTACCACTAGGTTGTCTCTTTCTCCACCAACAAATAACTCACTTCACGTGTCAGGGAAGCAATGTCGCAGACACTGGTCTTTACTCCAGGGAGTGTTCACTTTATTGATTTTAGAGAGCGCAAGGGAGAGAGGAAGAGGGAGACCCAGTGCCTCTCGCTTCCTTTAGTGACTGTCAGCTCCCGTGATGGGCGGCGGCGAGAAGTGTTCATGCCAGACAGCTCAATGTTGGGGGGCTGGGGCGGGGAGACCCCCTAGCGCACCACTAAATGACGTGTCTGCGGGGAGTTGGGAGGACCAGCGGCCTCCCCCAGTCCTGCTCCTCTGTCTGTCCGTCTGTCCCTCCGAGTGCTGGTCCGGCTTTGGTCCGTGGGGAGAGGTCGGTCAGTCCTCGCCACCTCCGTACATGTCCGCCAGCTTCTTGAACCGGGGCCCCCAGTCGTTCAGATAATCGTAGTCTTGGTCCCCGGAGCTGGATGAGTTTAGGGAGCTGACGGAGCCTGCCGTGGAGCCACTGCCTTCATAGTCGAAGACCAGCAGGGAGTCGTAGGGGGGCGCTGTGGGGTCGTTGTCTGCCGCTCTAAGTCCCTGGGGGTCATGAGACACGGTTAGGGTGGAGGGTTTGCGGCCTCAGGAATAGGAAAAAGATTAGGGGAGGCAAAGCTATAGGGCCCTGCATACCATAGGTGCTCAATAAGTGCTCCCTACATTTAACCAAAGGGTATCTCAGATAACCAAGCAGAGAAGGGTCAGAAGCTGCTGGAGGTGGAAAACTCAATGTCAGCATGAGGTAGGGGGGATGGGCAGGGCTGTGGCTACGTGGGCCTGTGGCTGTGTGGGGCAATGGCTTGGTGGTGCCATGGCTGTGTGGGGCCGTGGCTGTGTGGGGCAATGGCTTGGTGGGGCCATGGCTGCGTGGGGCTGTGGCTGTGTGGGGCAATGGCTTGGTGGTGCCATGGCTGTGTGGGGCTGTGGCTGTGTGGGGCCATGGCTTGGTGGGGCTGTGGCTGTGTGGGGCCGTGGCTGTGTGGGGCAATGGCTTGGTGGTGCCATGGCTGTGTGGGGCCGTGGCTATGTGGGGCCATGGCTTGGTGGTGCCATGGCTGTGTGGGGCCGTGGCTATGTGGGGCCATGGCTTGGTGGGGCCGTGGCTGGGTGGGGCCATGGCTGGGTGGGGCCATGGCTGGGTGGGGCCATGGCTGGGTGGGGCCATGGCTGGGTGGGGCCATGGCTGGGTGGGGCCATGGCTGGGTGGGGCCATGGCTGGGTGGGGCCATGGCTGGGTGGGGCCATGGCTGGGTGGGGCCATGGCTGGGTGGGGCCATGGCTGGGTGGGGCCATGGCTGGGTGGGGCCATGGCTGGGTGGGGCCATGGCTGGGTGGGGCCATGGCTGGGTGGGGCCATGGCTGGGTGGGGCCATGGCTGGGTGGGGCCATGGCTGGGTGGGGCCATGGCTGGGTGGGGCCATGGCTGGGTGGGGCCATGGCTGGGTGGGGCCATGGCTGGGTGGGGCCATGGCTGGGTGGGGCCATGGCTGGGTGGGGCCATGGCTGGGTGGGGCCATGGCTGGGTGGGGCCATGGCTGGGTGGGGCCATGGCTGGGTGGGGCCATGGCTGGGTGGGGCCATGGCTGGGTGGGGCCATGGCTGGGTGGGGCCATGGCTGGGTGGGGCCATGGCTGGGTGGGGCCATGGCTGGGTGGGGCCATGGCTGGGTGGGGCCATGGCTGGGTGGGGCCATGGCTGGGTGGGGCCATGGCTGGGTGGGGCCATGGCTGGGTGGGGCCATGGCTGGGTGGGGCCATGGCTGGGTGGGGCCATGGCTGGGTGGGGCCATGGCTGGGTGGGGCCATGGCTGGGTGGGGCCATGGCTGGGTGGGGCCATGGCTGGGTGGGGCCATGGCTGGGTGGGGCCATGGCTGGGTGGGGCCATGGCTGGGTGGGGCCATGGCTGGGTGGGGCCATGGCTGGGTGGGGCCATGGCTGGGTGGGGCCATGGCTGGGTGGGGCCATGGCTGGGTGGGGCCATGGCTGGGTGGGGCCATGGCTGGGTGGGGCCATGGCTGGGTGGGGCCATGGCTGGGTGGGGCCATGGCTGGGTGGGGCCATGGCTGGGTGGGGCCATGGCTGGGTGGGGCCATGGCTGTGTGGGAGCAATGGCTTGGTGGAGCTGTGACTGGAGTTCAGTCCCTCCAGGGAGGCCTTGGGTCTTGAGTCCATGATCATTGTCACATGGAATGTGCACCTGAGCTGGCCAGAGTCAGAGGTTTGAAGTTAACTATCCCCATGAACAAAAGCCGGCAATGTTGCAAGTGTGGCTGGAACCCCGCCAGGTGCTACCCTCTGTCCTTGAGTGTGGCTGGCTGACTGGCTGATGTGACCCTGGGAGCAGCCCTCCCCACTTGCCCGTGGCTGGGACAGCTTGGAGGTGCGGGGTCTAACCTAGCTCTGGGAGGTCCCCAGCAGGGTGGCCCATGTGTCCACGGTGCTCACTGGCTGGCTGATGCCTCATTGCCCAACCCTGATGACCATTCAGTACTGAATAGTCGGTAGTGTGTCCATTTTTACTTCCTGGAAGAATTATTCAAAAGTGGATTGTAAAAACGCTAAAGGTCACTAATCATCCGAGAGATGCAAATCAAAACAACAGTAAAAGGTATCACCTCACACCTGTCAGAATGGCTACCATCAACAAATCAACAAACGACAAGTGCTGGCGAGGATGCAGAGAAAAAAGAACCCTCGTGCACTCTTGATGGTCCTGGAGACTAGTCCAGCCGCTG